CAGCACAGTAAGATGCAGCACTTAGGCACTGGGCAGACAAAACCACAATAACCTCAGGGCCTCCAGCATGCGGTGCCTGATTTTGCAGAGAATAAAAAATTTGCAACTTGTGAACTGCAACATGTGAATATGTACAAAAGCAATTTTGAGCTGGCATTTTTAACTCTTCAAAGTATCACGTTTTGCCAAAACATGCATTCAGACCATTTTGGAGACCTTATGCTTTGATGCAGATTTGAAATTATGCATATAATTATTTAATTTCTGTGTTCCTGTGCAGTGTCTAAGCACGCTCAGGTCTGTGTTCCTGTCCAGTGTCTAAGCACGCTCAAGTCTGTGTTCACCAATGCTGCTGCAGCTTTCCAGTGTAGATTTAGGTCAAGGATTTTGGTCAACTGTAAATTCTGACAAAACATTGCATGCATTTTTACCTACAAGGACACACCAAAAACTTACTGCTAAACCAAACAAAGCTATTTTTCTGAGCCTGTTTTACAGTATATATAATTAAAGGTATGTGTTGATTTGTTGCATTTTTAACACTTAACTTGAGGGGGCAGAAATTCTTCGTAGTAACTCAGTTACTGATAAAGTAAAAATCATGAATAAACATAGCAGCTACTTGCGATAAAAGATACGTCATGATTAATTAATGATGAACAAACATGAAATCAGTATCTCATTTGTGTTAATCATTACTTGTTTCTTCAGTAACTCCTTCTGTAATTCACAACAGTTTGCAGAAGAGACATATAGTAACAAATATAGTAACTGCTTGGGAAAGATCACAATTAATTAATGATGAATGAATATGAGATCAGTATGCAACTATGACTTAGTCTGTGGTTAATATATAAGTAAGAGCTTAATACTATATTATTTGTGCTCTCTCAAGTAAAGGGTTACCCACTTTTTGTAAATACAACCACTGAGACTAAATAAAGATATGCTTTGTATCTCTTACAATGCAGAGTTGTAACTACAGATGACAAAATAGAGTATACTACAGTAATAAAACACACTTTTCCATTTACCTTACTGGAGCGCATGCAAAGAGACCATGTACATGTGAATACTTCAGAGGATGCAGAGGTGTGTGTTAAACAGGAACTCTGCAGTTTTATTGTGTGAGATGTCACACAGGACGTCATACTGTAGTTAACAGCACAACAGCCCTGATAAAACTGAGTGACAGATGTGTTGTCCAATAGTAAACTTTTTTTTATTCTCCAGTGTTTTTGCTCCTCCTTAAAATTTCCTTCAGTTCATGTGATAGATTGATCTGCATACTGTATGTGGGGTGTCTCCACAAGAAAGGGGACTTTTTGGGGGGGGGGGGGCTAAAGTGTTTCAAA